GCGCTTCCCATTGATTGTCGTAGTATGTGTCTTCTCCATGGGCAGTGGGGAATTTGATAGCGTAGTGGAAAATTGAGACGGCAGCCCATAGTTTGTACAACGTTGTCCTCCCGACGATTGCATTGTAATCAATTGAGAGGTCCATCACTTTAAAATTTACCATGATGACCTTGGAAGTTTGTCTGTGTCCTCTGAACCGAATCGGAAGAGTTATTTCTCCAAGGGAGAGTGTTACACTCCCATTAAGACCCCAAACTCGATCATTCAAGGTTGAATCTCATTCGGGTCAATTCCTATTCTCCTAAATGCCTAGAGCGTAAAGATGCTTTGATACGCTCCGGTATCCACCATGATGCGGTGCACTAGGATGCCACAGATCGGCGCCGTTATTGTCGGCGTGAGCTAGTCGAATCATCTTTGCTTGTGTTAACTCACGGAATAGTGTAATTATGGTGTGAGGTTGGCGGAGTTGGTCCGACTTCACTGGGCGACTTAGATTCTCTTTCCCTCTTTTCGGGTCGGGTAGAACCACCTGAGCTGAAATTTAAGACTTCTTTATCTCTTTGGCGGATCCTCTCGGGGTTCGCTGCACTATCATTGTCGTCGTCGTCTGAGATTTCTAGTGGTCTGCGCCCTCCTTCTGCGTCGTTCATCTTCACGTATTTTTTAACCTGCGGATTTGCGATTAGTCTTTTCAAAGCTGACAACAAGCTGAGACACTCGTCGGTATTGTGCCCCGGTGACTTGCGATAGTCGCAGTACTTACATTTGTCTAACTGGTCCTCCGGGGTTTTGACGGGTTTGGCTTCAGGAATAATCCATTTGGCCTTAAGCTCATCATAGATTGTGGCAGCCCCAACTGAGTAAATGGTGTGGTATCCCATCGTCAACTCCTCCTTATATTGTCTTCATGCAGCTTTCACTTCGGTGGTGACGACGGGTAGAACTCTCGAGTTGTGGCTTGACCGACAAAGTGAAATAATCATGCAGGTTTGACTCATCCTTATGTGGTCGCCCTTCGGTGATCCCTCGAGCTGTGGCTTGACCGACGATCATCCAAAGTGCTCTTTGTTCTTCTTCTTGCCTTTGGGAGTCGGTTTTTGTCGGGCACCAACATGAATTCTTCGGTTATAACATGCTGCTGAGCCCAGACAAGAAACTCTTGGAATGTACTGGGATTATTTTGATAGAGTGCCCATCTGAACATCGACTTTGGCTTTAATTCGGATATTGCATAGACCAACAATGTCTTCAGGTGACCGTCCCATATTCCTTTGATGTCGCGCGCTCCTGAATCTCGGCGGATGGGCCGCGATTTGTGCTCTAGCTCGCGGTTGCAGATTGGAGTTCTAGTGACGGCGTCGTCCCCGGTAGGTGCTTGGTGGTGGTGTTCCTTCGTCGCCGAAGAGTTTCAACTGGAGATGGTAAGTTCGCTGTCTCTTTTTTGTGTGTTGCCAGGATGTCTTCTCCGGCGGAGATCAGTCCTTTCTGTCGGGTTGGAGCCTCTGGTCGGGGTGTCTGCTGAGAGGACGGGGTGGCGTGCGGGTATTTGGATTGACGGGACTCCGTGGCTGTGGCTTCTGGTTGCGGTGGTCGGGGTGAGGGTTGTTCGCTCGGCACAATCCCCCGTTTTGCCTAGTGGTGTTAGAAGAATTTGGGTGAAATTGGTGTAGGTTGATTCGGGGACTTGTTCGGGTGTCGGTTTCTTCCACTGTATAGGCTTGATTGCAGTTTCGGTAGTAGACTCCTGGCCTAAATTTGTCTTGTGTCGATCGTTCACTACTGGTTCGGGCTAGTTCGTTCGCTAGGGAAGGGTTTTCTCTTTTGTTTTATAGTTTATTGTTTTAGGTTTGTCTATTTTTTGAGTCTGTGTTGTGATATTTTTGGTCTTGCTTTTTAGGTTTGGGTCGTTGGCCCCGGTACTGATACCCCTGTGGGGGGCGTTTCTATTCTCCTGTGGGGAGCGTTTCATAGTTGGGTGTTGGTGTCTGTTAGTTGTGTGTTGTGTGTTTTCTTTTCTAGCGTGGCTAGCGAGGCTCTAGGCGATCGTGAGATCCGTCCTCTCAGTTTTTAGTTCCTGGTTCTATTATTAAGCCTTGGGCTGTTTTTTGCACTGTTGTGCATTTTTTATCTATAATATCCCTATCGTTTCGAAAAAAACACTCTCATTGAGACGAGCGTCATAGTCCTTCAGACTCTCGTCATCTTCCTGGTCCTGGACGATATTTGTAATTGACAATTTGGGAAACATGTAGACCTGGGCCTCGAAAATGTAGAAACGGAAGGCCGGCCTAAGTTGGTACCACTTCCTGATGGACTGAGGCGGCAATGAGTGGTACCATTTTTGGGTTTTCTGGCCTAATCTGAGCGAAAACATATGGCATCTTAGGGCGTCCGAGGCCCCATGCAAGTCCAGCCATGACGTGTAATGCCCGAGATGGGCGTCGGGATCTAAAGTCCTATTATAAAGACCGATTTGGGGAACTTTG